ACTGAACTCCAATCATCCAGAGGATGATTATAACTATATTTTCATCCAAGAAAATAAGTTTACAAGAAAATGATATTTTATTGCAGCAAAGTATTTCATTGTTAGCACTCTCTAAAAAATGTACATAATATCTGAGACGTGACAAAAAACTTTTGCGAAATTCACAAACTTGACGAAGAAATACTAACTTTCAAGATGTAAAACCTCCTGTGAAGCTTAAAACTCAATTTTATCTCTACCTCTGGATCTTTCATGTGAAACTCGATAGCATATTTAAACCAATATTATCTTAATTTTATAACTGCAAATAATGAGTATATTAGGTTAAAGTATTGTAGTTAAGTTTTAGAACATTGATGGAAAAGAGATATCCTGAACTGGTTACTGGTTACTTCGATCTATTTTCGAGCATCCCAATCTCAGTTGAGTTACATTTTAATGATGCAATCTCTATAAAACAGTGATTGCCTGTAACTACGTTAAGCGGAGTTGTGATCGAAAAGTGTTGACTAAATACTTTTAAACTTGCACATTTTTGCCACATGTAAAATCCATTTCACGGAATACTCCTAAGTTCAAGGACATATATAGACGACTAACTGGGATACTTTGTTTTTTTTAGCATATATAGTAAACAGATAAAATAAAAATTTGTGGTTTATTTGATAGTATAGGTTTTTCTGATATATTTTTCAAATAAGATTAACTTTGTTCACTCCATTAACCGCAAAATAGTTAAGACTTACAAAAACAATGTTAAGAGAAATATTGATACAGCAACTTATTTAGATCTAACTAAGTTAGTGACACTTATTTATAATAAACTAGATTAGTTGATATTTCTAATCTAACACCACTTTTAATGGCGTATGTTCTAGTCGTACTCAAAGAATTCCTTAAAATAATGTATGGTTTTTTTTACGAATGCGCGCGGTCAAAACATCGCACAGCAAAGTGGTTTTTAAATTTTAACTATAAAAAAACATAAAATGTTGTATAAAATTCTCCAAACTATTCGAAAAGTTAAAACATTTTTCAAACACGTGGTGCAAAGAGAATTCCAGACACAACAACCAACGCATGATGGAAACTAGAGACGCTCATACTAAGTGGGCAACTCGGATTCCAAATAACCTAGATTTTTCGAAGTGCCAACTTTAAACTCAGAACAGTTAAGGCGTCAACTACGATGGGTACTGTTTCAAATACTTCGTTTGACTAAAATATTGAATTCGTTTTGGACGGGTACATAAAAAGCATGCGTAGCTAAGTGGATAAAACTATTTATCTACCAAAGCAAATATCATAAAAACCTTACGAATTGGCTGAGTTGAACTACAACAAGAAAATAGGCATGGCACATAGAGCCAGATCAATAGACTCTTTTATAATCATGTACTCGTCTGTAGAAATTGCATAATTATTCACAATATTATGATTAACATGTTGGAATGTATATTTTCAGTTTTAACGATGGATCGAAAATTCCAGTCAGAGTATTCGCATTTCTAGCAAAGGTATGAAATAGATTTCCTGGAATACTTGAAGGGAGTAATTTTGATTATGCACTCGTGATATTGACAATCATAACATTGTTTTGGTGGCAAACTTATTTATGATACAAAATATATGATGGAATACAATGCCAAACAAGACTAGTTTTATAAAAGTACGAAATGAACCAAACTACTGTTAAAGGTTCTTCGATAATACATAATATATCTATGGGGAGTATTCATCTTTTTTTATAGATTTCGGATCATTTAAACGAGAAATGTGTCTAAATATTTGTAAGCTCTGGTATTAAACAAAGGTTTGTTTTGACACAAGTGTCACTTTTATCTTTCTATGTTTTCAATTTTGTTTACTTTGAAGCGACTTCTCAGAGTCTTGGCCACTTCTTAAATTCTTCCTTTGATATTTAAATTCCAGACAAATTATTTTATCATTTCCGATGGGACAATCATCCCTTTGCTTTGGAGGACGATCTTCTTAAGAGTATCCTTAAATCAGAGGTGTTTCTAATTTAATGCGATAATACCTAGTGTATAAGAGAAGGTTGTTTCGAGATAAGCCCTCACTAATGACTGAAATTATTGACAATTAGTATTTACGATATTCATAAAAAAAATTGCATTCCCTAATACTGATGTATTGTGTAATGATGTATTACTACTAATTGACACGTATATACATTGCTTCATAAATACGTTGAAATGTATACTTATCAATACTTAAATAATATGATACATTGGAATTTAAAAAAAATGTTTATGGTTAAATCGATCAGACTGGATCAATTCTATCTATTTTGTTTCGTTTTCGTAATCGTGGTGGTTTAAACAAAAATCATATGGACACTACACTAAATCGCTAAACCCCATCGCAATAAATGCATCTTTCACTATTTTCAAAGTATTATAGTTTTTTTTTTATCTTTTATTAAATACAAAAACCCATTTGTAGCCTTCATTCAAATTCCTTTTCATACGATTAGTATAGTTATTGGACAATCACTTTTAAATATATATGTGATTCCACCTTAAGATGTAGGCAAACATATTTTAAAAGTCTCTTAGGTGAACTGGCCTGTCTTTGTACAGGGTGAGGCAATGAGAACGCTACAATTTGTTTTAGCTGTCACATGTTAGTCGTTGCAACAATGAATGATCAGCTGTGCTTAAAACATCAATTAAACTATGACATTTTAGTAAGTATTATGCCTGAGGCTATTAACTCTGAGATTTTGATGTGGAAACCTATTAAAAAAAGCGATTCTTGTGCAAAAACCCAGAAATTGTTTGGACCACATTCCATCCTTGGTCAACATGGCGCTGTTCCAGATAGAAAACAATGGTGAACTGGGTAAAATTATTTAGGATAAACGCTTAAACCTTAAAAATAATCTGTAGGTGCTGAATAACTCTTTCTACACCAGCAAATGTTGAAAGAGTGCGAGTCGCAGTAACTCAAAGTCCAAATAGATTTGCCATTAAGCTTTTGTTGTTGAAAGCTTTACGTTATAGCTCTTTTTTTGGGGGGGGGGAGAATGTATTCTGATAAGCTACTTGAAGTTCGAGGTTTTTCAAAGTCACCCCACTGCTTGAACCGAAGTTAAGAATTGTACAAAAACTAAAGTGATTCCTGAATAAATGCTGGAGAGGAGTATTTGATGGAGTTTTCAAGTGACTAAAAATGAATGTCAAGTAGGACAAGGACGTCACTTGCAGGATTTTGTTTTCAAGAAATGGAAAAAATTACTTTTAAAATGGCAAAAGATAGCTGTATTTTGATGTGCTATTTATATCCATAGGGTGAATATTATTGAATTTGTACTACTTATAAATTGGGGCGCTTTCATTGCCCCACCCTGTATAAGAGAATCACATCCACTATACACTACGTGATGATTTTTAGAACTTCATGTTTCATGAGAACTTGAATTTATCAATATAATTAAACAATATTTTAGAAGATTCTCTGGATTTTGTAATCACGCCTCTAAATTTGTAGCTTAGAGAGTAAATCAGGATTACATTTTATTCTTTTGGAAACAGCGTTATTAGCACAAGAGCTTATTGGTTTTCACGTCAGTCATAAGACCTAATCCTATTATGAAGGACCACTACTCATCCCCAGACGATAAAATCTTTCTTATCTGTGACACCTGCCAATTCTCCTCTAGTCAAACCTTTTACACCCAAATCGTGTCTTGCACTAGTCTGGGCTGTTTATGGCTTGGCTATTTATTTGGCTATTCGAATATAGTGGAATTGAAAACGAATGAAAATCAAAATACATTACTAATGCACCTTTAATCAAAACATACAATTGTTATCAAGCCAGTTCGTGTGGGTGCCAAACTTAAAATTAAAGTTAATATACCAAACCTTTTGAAATGAAAAAAACTAAACCGTCTGTTCAATCACACATACACACTACCACTTTAATCAGTGTGCATGGCACGGATACCCTATCAGGCCAGCATTTTGGCCTTTTGAATAAAATATGGAAAACAATAGTTTTGAAAATATTGATAAAATTAAAATGAAAATCAAAACACTTTTATACCAGTCTGATACTCTCTTAATAAATGTATGGACCACAAGAGATCAAATACGCGTTGGCTTGAGGCATACAATTGCATTTTAAAATTTTTGTTAAAGCAATCATTTATGTAGTTATTTCAATTACAGATATACCCATGATATTAACAGTTTTGACACTAAAAAAAAAAAACTAAATTCTCTCCAACTTTAGGAAGTTAAAGACTCTACAAGAAATCATGTTACCTTTTTTGTTGTCTAGTTAGGAATCAAAAATAAGCAAACAATGTTAGAAATAATGCGTGCTATTTTTGGTTCAATTAACGACCAAAGAACTTGGAGAATACTACTGTGAAAATTAATTCTTTCACAAGACCCCGACTTTATTGTCATGGAAACAGAAGGAAAACGAATAACACAATAACAATAGTGGCAGAAATTTGTCTTCAAGGTAGAAGACCCATAGTGATCGCGTGCTGTAAATGCACAATAGGTTTGGACTTTTTTAAATTCCAAATCATATCCAAATGTTGTACATTTTTTGCACTTTTTTGTACCACCAAACATAAGTTCGTTACTCCTTCCCTAAAATGTGCAGACGAAAAACAAATGTCGAGGTACATGCCCATACAGTACCAAAACACAAGTTATAGGTTTCATTAAACACATAATGATTTAGTACTGTTTTTGTACATTTGTTACCACCAAAAGAATATGTATACCACCTTTTCAACTGAGATGTGACTAATTTCAAGTTTGGGTACAAACCTATGGTGAGACTTGAATTACTTGGTTGAGAGCACTTTGCGAGGCCACAAACATACTTAGATTTAAGTGGCCGTATGGGGAGATTTTGCGTTGTTACTTTTTAATTCCATTTACAGCATTCTATTTCTCTACACAAATGCAGATTGTTGGTATTAAATGTTTGACTGTAGAAATGATCTAACAAACCTGCCCGATGGAGTCCATGAGCCTGTACTGGTTGAGTTGAAGGAAGCTACCGGACTTGTCAATGCTGACTCTTCGACTTTCTTTGAGTGGAGTCCGACGACGGGCTGACCTGTCAAAACAAACCGGTTTAAGTCACTGCAAATATGTGATCTGAATTAAATGCACGACGTACAACTAACTGTCCATCAAACGAATATTACAAAGGATTGTTTGTTTGGAGTATACGTGTAGAAATATGGAGTGACTTGATATTTGATACATCGCAAAGCAAAATAATAATTTATCAAAATATACCTAATCTTTATATTGACTAGTTTCTGTCATTATATTTAAAAAAATGTTATGGTGAAAAAAAATACTGAGGATCAGTTACTATATAGTTTTGTTTGTTTGTTATCGATAGCTTATATTGAACATATTTTGTAACTGAAAAAAATCAACGGTTAAACTAAGGATATTTATAGAAATGTTTAAAACACTATTGTAAAGAGTTTAATCAATAATTGCTTCAACAGAGTACAAAGCTGTTCCACTAAATTGATATTTGGTAAGATAACAAGTAAAGCATTATCAGAATTTCTTTTTAATATGTGTGTGGTTCAGTCAATAATTTTGGTCCAATATTTTGAGGGGGGAAACCATTTGATTGAATGTATTTGCTTTCCAATGCTTCTCCTAAGTGTATGTGTTACAATTATGAACACAATAGCGTATTATGCCAGGTAGAATATTAATTTGAACTGATAAAATATCTGTAACGTAACAATAAAATCTTCGGGAATCCATTAATGAAAGACTCTTTTTCCCTCATTTAAAATTAATGTGAATCAAAATTGCATAGCAATTATATATTTCCTGTACCGTTTCACGAAACAAATGTATACAGAAAAGGTGGGACTCAGACCAAACTTTAAAATAGCTTACAGTTTGAAAGTTACACTCGGTATTAAAAACAATGCAAAACAGATGTATTTTGATTGGGTAGGTCTAGTCTAAAGAAGAATGAAATTCCTAGAGAAGGTGAAAAGGATTCCAATGGATGCATGCAATTTAAAAAGTATAGCTGATAGGATTTGCCAAAAGCCTAAGGACTGAGTCGAGATATCCTTCTTGGGGAAAAATAGCAAGCAAACAATAAAGGAAAGCCTGTACAGAAGTCTGGATAAGTGTACATTTCAGTACATGGATCTGTTAATAAGTTTATAGAATTGTAATACTAAACTTCCTGGGACAATGTATTAGTTTTTCAGAACTTTATAGACCAGACAATGACAATTTTCATCCATTAATAAAAAAAAACAACTCAAATTAAAGCAAAGTGTTTTTGAAAATAAAGTCAAGGTATCTGGAACCATAGCATTGTTTTTAAGGAATAACGTCACTAAATAAAATAGCAATATTTTTCATTGCATTTTGAGGAATTAACATTGATATAACTTTATTAAAAAATGATTATATCTTTACAAAATGTTTATAGGTTTACGAACAGCTAGGTGGATAAATACCGGGTGTCCCATAATAGTACCCCCTGGTTAATTTTTAAATGGCTGCATTTATTCAAATGAGCTTCGATACACGTTACTAGGGTAATGTAAAGTACATTTTAGTGGTATTTTGAAATTCACCCCCAACCAGAGGTCTCAATTTCAACCCATTACAGAATGGCGGCCATTTTTTAATTTTTCATCAGCCTGAGAGAGTCCATTTAAAAATATACACCAATATCCCCTGTTAGCGTTTTAATGGGTTGTACCAGGGACAATAAACTCATTATTATTGTAACAAGAAAGTAAAAACTACTTTTTGATCAGTATGACAACTTTGCCCAGGACCCTAAAATGGGCTATTTTGGGGGCAGCTCAAAAGTTTTAAATATAACACCCTATCAAGTGACAACTCATTTTAAAGACTAACAGTTAGAAATTTTGAAAAGTTGTAGTTTTTACTTTCTTGTTAATAATTAACTTAGTTTACCTGGTACAACACATAAAAATGCTAAAAGGGGATATTGGTGTATATTTTTACATGGGCTCTCTCAGGCTGATGAAAAATGGCCGCCAATTCTGTAATGGGTTGAGATAGAGACCTCTGGTTTTTACGGCATTTAAAATGATGTGCTACTTGATAGGAGTTGCTATTTCAACATTTTAGTTTACCCCCAGCAACCCCTATTTGGGGACGGGGGTGAATTTCAAAATACCCCCAAAAAGTACTTTATATTACCCTAGTAACGTGTATTGAAGCTCGTTTGAATATGTAGCCGTTTAAAAATTAAGATGGGGGACTATTATAGGACACCCAGTATACGTAACCCACCTTTAACATCAATTATAGTTAAAACGCGATCATGAGGTATAACAAGTATTATTGATCATATTTCTAATAAAGAAAATGTTTGTTAATTTTTCAATAGAAAATACAGGGTGATTTGTACTCAGTGTGACAAAAATGTATTGGTGTAAGTACAAAGTAAATGAAGTGTGATGATGCATATCAAATGTTCCAAGTCTCAAAATTAGCTTCCCAAAAAATTATTTTATGTTTTACAAAATTAACAATGTTTTTAAACTTAATACAGCGATTTCTCAATTACCTGTATATGGATTTGAGTAGATAATGTAAATTTCGTGTTCTACATTAAATTTTGAACAAGAATAATGGAAAATGACGGAGGATCACTTGTAAAAACTCCATTGTAAATAGATTCAAAGATAAAAATTAAGATGTTTGATATAAATTTTAAAAACAATGGTCTATTGCATTTTTCACACCCTGTATACAAGAAAGTGTCGGAATATGTTAAAAACTGCGCCATTTTATAAGCTTTCCAACCATATGCTACACTATTGAGGTTAAGATTTTTTTTTTTTTGTTTTAGTGGTTTGAATGCCAGAAAGCAGGGAAATTTTTACTGTTTTTACTGTTCAAGCTGAAACAAAAATACAACTTTTGCTTAATACATGCCGACTTTCTATGTTTTAAATGTTAAAGACACCATGCTTTATACTCTTCAAACCATTAAAGCATACATAAGCAGACATAAACCTCAATAGTGTAGCATATGGTTGGAAAGCTTATAAAATGGCGCAGTTTTTAACATAGTCCGACACTTTCTTGTATACAGGGTGTGAAAAATGCAATAGACCATTGTTTTTAAAATTTATATCAAACATCTTAATTTTTATCTTTGAATCTATTTACAATGGAGTTTTTACAACTGATCCTCCGTCATTTTCTATTATTCTTGTTCAAAATTTAATGTAGAACACGAAAATTACATTATCTACTCAAACCCATATACAGGTAAATGAGAAATCGCTGTATTAAGTTTAAAAACATGGTTATTTTTGAAAAACATAAAATATTTTTTTGGGAAGCTAATTTTTTGACTTGGAACATTTGATATGCATCATCACACTTCATTTACTTTGTACTGACGCCAAAAAATTTTTGTCACACTGAGTACAAATCACCCTGTATAACGTAGTTTTATTAATACATTTATGGCTTAGGATAGAAATCACATTCTACAAAGTTGAAAGAGGAAGGAATAAATAGTTTATAAACCTCCAATGGATACTTACCAAACCGAATATGTCGGTTATATTTGTTTTTCACAAAAGAAGATTTGTCAGAACTTTTTAAGGGTATCTTGGGATTTGAAATTGCTATTGCCCTTGTTCCCACATGAGATTGGAAAGCAATATTTTTCGTGACTTGAGTTTGAAGAAAATCTGTGATCAGAATATGCCGATTTGAGAACAATCTAGCCTTAAATATTTTAAAGATTCGATCTTGTTTTCAATATCAGTTCATTTTGTGTTATCAACAGCAATGTCAGGGTATAGTTGTTTGTTGAAGTATTGTAAACTTCCAGATACACATTTGTCAGCAAAGGCATAGAGGATTCATTTAGCGTTCATTTGCTACGTTTTAAATGTCATTTTGATTGTAACTCAATAGCTTTGCCAATATTTAAGTTTTATTTTTAATCTTGCAGTATTTTTTTTTAAATCTTGGTTTTGTGGCCTATTGTTTTCTATCTTATATTGAACGAATAACGATATATTTAAATATTAAAGTTGTATTTTGTACTTTTTATGCTAACAAATATAGCTCGTCTTATATGTGTCTTTAGGGTTAAGTTTATTACATTAGTATAAGCCATTAGATGACCTAATCCTAAGTAAAAGTATTAAATAAATTTTAATGTAATCTAAAACTAATATTTTAATCAAGGTGGACTAGTTCAGGGTTTTTTGTTATCTTTAATACCGATTCTAAAAATTCTAAAATTGTAGTAGAAAAGTTCTAAAACTGTATATTTGTTAAAATAGCTGATTTTGATGATGTTTATATAATCTTTAGATGAATAACTACCACGTATTCTTCCGGTTTTCGTCGAACCGTAGTAACAAGTATTGAAACCATTAGACAATATCTGAGCGGAGAATAGTTTTGAGAATTAAGCTGAACTGAATGCACTTCCCTGAAAAGTTCCAATATCCTATTACCAACACAAATCATGCAATGTTTTGTCAGCAGACCCCTTACAGTATATCAAACTTAGAGACTGTAGAAGTGTTGAAATGCGTTTTGTATGTACAAACCAACAACAATGTCTTTAAAGCTGTCAGCTCGTAATACTGGTCACTATAGGACAAAATATTCTACTCCTACAAGGTAGGTTTTAAATACGTAGGCAATTTTCTTAGTGTATAGACAAAGGATGCTTAAGCGAACCGATTTGTGGATTTAGACAGCATGTGGCAGTAATAGTATACACTTTATTACTGTATTACTGTAATGACAATTTCAAACAATATTTTAATCTACTTATTTGATTATGATGTATATTGCAGGTAATCGGAAACTATAAAATAAAGAATTCGCAGGGTGGTCCAATACATTATCTCGTCCAGACTTCGTAACCGCGCGATACTTAGCCGATAATGTGATTTTAATGGTACCCTGATGCGAAAAGTAATATATTGAACGTTTGAGGATGATCATTAGAGAATAAAAGTATATAGTTCGAAAGCAGAGTTAAAATACTCGTAGTACTTCTTAAGGACATTAGGCTTATATATAATTTTATGTTGGTAAATG